TCCTTTTTTTCTTTCTTTCAAATCCATATTTCTTTCTAACTAATCTTTCTTTCTTTTTTTCTTTTTATCTTTCTTTCTTTCTTTCCTTTCTTTATTTCGAATAATCTATCTATCTATCTATCTATCTATCTATCTATCTATCTATCTATCTATCTATCTATCTATCTATCTATCTATCTATCTATCTACCTAATCCATCTTCTTTCTTTCCTTTCTACCTAATCCTTCTTTCTTTCTTTCTTTCTTTCTTTCTTCTTTCTTTCTTCTTTCTTTCTTTCTTTCTTTCTTTCTACCTAATCCATCTTTCTTTCTTTCTTTCTTTCTTTCTTTCTTTCTTTCTTTCTACCTAATCAATCTTTCTTTCTTTCTTTCTATAATAATCCATCCATCCATCCATCCATCCATCCATCCATCCATCCTTTCTATCTTATCTATCTATCTATCTATCTATCTATCTATCTTCTATCTATCTATCTATCTATCTATCTATCTATCTATCTATCTATCTATCTATCTATCTATCTATTTCTATCAAATCCATCTTTCTTTCTAACTAACTAATCCTTTCTTTCTCACTAATTCTTTCTTTCTTTCAAATCCATCTTTCTTTCTAACTAATTATTTTCTTTCTTTCTAACTAATCCTTTCTTTCTTTCTTTCTTTCTTTCTTTCTAATTATCTATCTATGTATCTATCTATCTATCTACCCCCTGTCTTTCTCTACCTTTCTTTTTTGTACTCCTTTACTTCTCTACCTCTGTCTCTTTCTCTACCCCTATATTTCTTTACCTCTGTGTCTACATCTGTAGCTCTCTTTACCTCTCTAAGTAAACTTCTAGTTTTCAACAATGCATTTGAATTAAGCTTTTTTTTCTTTTTTGCTCTGTTTTGCTGTTGTTTGAACTGCAATATTTTGCATTTGTTTAAGCATTTAAGTTAAGCTTTTGAAGCATTCACACGCATATTCCGCAGGAAATGCAATTTTTCTAGTTATTATTCTTCTTACTCAAAATTTTCTGACTCTAACTCCTCCTAGAGCTTTGACTCTACAAACTCCAAACTCGGGTCAGACCTTCAGACTGTTCTGACTTAGTGTGCTATATCTTTTTAGACTGATTCGACTTTCAGATTTCTTAAAAATTAATATTAAAAATCATAAAAATCCCATTGACTTTCATTGTAGCATGGTCAAATTGAGCCAAGACTACGGTGGCCCAATAGCGTACAACAAAAACTCAAATCTAAATTCCCTGAAGCCCTAGACTCAATTAAACTACCATTCTATATGTACTAATGAACTATCTATCTATCTATCTATCTATCTATCTATCTATCTATCTATCTATCTATCTATCTATCTATCTATCTATCCATCTTTCTTTCTAACAAATCTATCCATCTTTCTTTCTAACAAATCTATCCATCTTTCTTTCTAACAAATCTATCCATCTTTCTTTCTAACTAATCTATCCATCTTTCTTTCTACCTAATCTATCCATCTTTCTTTCTAACAAATCTATCCATCTTTCTTTCTACCTAATCTATCCATCTTTCTTTCTACCTAATCTATCCATCTTTCTTTCTACCTAATCTATCCATCTTTCTTTCTACCTAACTAATCTATCCATCTTTCTTTCTAACAAATCTATCCATCTTTCTTTCTACCTAATCTATCCATCTTTCTTTCTACCTAATCTATCCATCTTTCTTTCTACCTAACTAATCTATCCATCTTTCTTTCTAACAAATCTATCCATCTTTCTTTCTAACAAATCTATCCATCTTTCTTTCTAACAAATCTATCCATCTTTCTTTCTAACTAATCTATCCATCTTTCTTTCTAACAAATCTATCCATCTTTCTTTCTACCTAATCTATCCATCTTTCTTTCTACCTAATCTATCCATCTTTCTTTCTACCTAATCTATCCATCTTTCTTTCTAACAAATCTATCCATCTTTCTTTCTACCTAATCTATCCATCTTTCTTTCTAACAAATCTATCCATCTTTCTTTCTACCTAATCTATCCATCTTTCTTTCTACCTAATCTATCCATCTTTCTTTCTAACAAATCTATCCATCTTTCTTTCTACCTAACTAATCTATCCATTTTTCTTTCTAACTAATCTATCCATCTTTCTTTCTAACAAATCTATCCATCTTTCTTTCTACCTAATCTATCCATCTTTCTTTCTAACAAATCTATCCATCTTTCTTTCTACCTAATCTATCCATCTTTCTTTCTACCTAACTAATCTATCCATTTTTCTTTCTAACTAATCTATCCATCTTTCTTTCTAACAAATCTATCCATCTTTCTTTCTACCTAATCTATCCATCTTTCTTTCTAACAAATCTATCCATTTTTCTTTCTAACTAATCTATCCATCTTTCTTTCTAACAAATCTATCCATCTTTCTTTCTACATAATCTATCCATCTTTCTTTCTACCTAACTAATCTATCCATTTTTCTTTCTAACAAATCTATCCATCTTTCTTTCTACCTAATCTATCCATCTTTCTTTCTACCTAACTAATCTATCCATCTTTCTTTCTAACAAATCTATCCATCTTTCTTTCTAACAAATCTATCCATCTTTCTTTCTAGCAAATCTATCCATCTTTTTTTCTAACTAATCTATCCATCTTTCTTTCTAACTAATCTATCCATCTTTCTTTCTTACTAATCTATCCATCTTTCTTTCTAACTAATCTATCCATCTTTCTTTCTAAATAATCTATCGTTCTTTCTTTCTAACAAATCTATCGTTCTTTCTTTCTACCTAACTAATCTATCCATCTTTCTTTCTAACAATTCTATCCATCTTTCTTTCTAACAAATCTATACATCTTTCTTTCTAACTAATCTATCCATCTTTCTTTCTAACAAATCTATCGTTCTTTATTTCTACCCAAGTAATCTATCCATCTTTCTTTCTAACAATACTTTCTTTCTCTTTCTTTCTTTCTTTCTTCTTTCTTTCTTTCTTTCTTTCTTTCTTTCTTTCTTTCTTTCTTTCTTTCTTTCTTTCTTTCTTTCTTTCTTTCTAACAAATCTATCCATCTTTCTTTCTAACTAATCTATCCAGCTTTCTTTCTAACAAATCTATCCATCTTTCTTTCTAACTAATCTATGCATCTTTCTTTCTAAAAATTCTTTCTTTCTCTTTCGTTCTTTCTTTCTTTCTTGATGCTAATAACATGCTAATCATGCTAGCTTTCTGCTAATCATGTTAGCTTCTTGTTAAAAACATGCTAGCATGATGCTAGCTACATGCTAATCATGCTAGCATGATGCTAGCTACATGCTAATCATGCTAGCTTCTTGCTAAAAACATGCTAGCATGATGCTAGCTACATGCTAATCATGCTAGCATGATGCTAGCTACATGCTAATCATGCTAGCTTCTTGCTAAAAACATGCTAGCATGATGCTAGCAACATGCTAATCATGTTATTATGATGCTAGCTACATGCTAATCATGCTAGCATGATGCTAGCTACATGCTAATCCTGCTAGCTTCTTGCTAAAAACATGCTAGCATGATGCTAGCAACATGCTAATCATGTTATTATGATGCTAGCTACATGCTAATCATGCTAGCATGATGCTAGCTACATGTTAATCATGCTAGCTTCTTGCTAGCAACATGCTAATCATGCTAGCATGATGCTAGCTACATGCTAATCATGCTAGCTTCTTCCTAAAAACATGTTAGCATGATGCTAGCAACATGCTAATCATGCTATTATGATGTTAGCTACATGCTAGTCATGCTAGCTTCTTGCTAAAACATGCTAATCATGCTAGCTTGATGTTAGCTACATGCTAATCATGTTAGCTTCTTGCTAAAAACATGCTAGCATAATGCTAGCAACATGCTAATCATGCTATTATGATGTTAGCTACATGCTAATCATGCTAGCTTCTTGCTAAAAACATGCTAGCATGATGCTAGCAACATGCTAATCATGCTATTATGATGTTAGCTACATGCTAGTCATGCTAGCTTCTTGCTAAAAACATGCTTATCATGCTAGCTTGATGCTAGCTACATGCTAATGATGTTAGCTTCTTGCTAAAAACATGTTAGCATGATGCTAACAACATGCTAATAATGTTATTATGATGCTAGCTACATGCTAATCATGGTAGCATGATGCTAGCTACATGCTAATCATTCTAGCTTCTTGCTAAAACATGCTAGCATGATGCTAGCAACATGCTAATCATGTAAGCATGATGCTAGCTACATGCTAATCATTCTAGCTTCTTGCTAAAACATGCTAGCATGATGCTAGCAACATGCTAATCAGGTTAGCATGATGCTAGCTACATGCTAGTCATGCTAGCTTCTTGATAAAAACACGTTAGCATGATGCTAGCAACATGCTAATCATGCTATTATGATGCTAGCTACATGCTAATCATGCTAACAACATGCTAATCATCTTAACTACATGCTAATCAAATTAGCATCAAGCTAGCTACATGCTAATCATGTTAGATTCTTGTCGAAAACATCTATCTATCTATCTATCTATCTATCTATCTATCTATCTATCTATCTATCTATCTATCTATATTTCTTTCTAACTAATCTATCCATCTTTCTTTCTTTCTTTCTAATCTATCTTTAAAACTTCATTCAAACTTCAAAACTTCAAACGCTCTGGTCCGGCTTTCTCAAGCCAACTTAAAGTTTGTCATCAAACTTTTTTTTCTAGTTAAACTTTATAGGGTTAAAAACACATTTTTGCTCATATTTAGTTTTTTGGGAAGCATTTTTCCATGTCTTATCATTCTTGTGTAAATAATGTAAAGCATTCCTGCTCACTGATAGTGGCACATGTACCATCTACACTGGTATGAAACACACCACCCAGCCCGAGTGTGTGCAGCTTTTTCCATTTCACAATTTAAAGTTCTTCCACTTGTTTGGTTTGGGTTGACTAATTCTGAACTAATATGTGCAAATGTGTGTCTTATGTCTGTAGTCACATAGCTTCCATGCTGTCGAGTCAGGACCTGAAGATTGTAGTGGGCTCTCTGCAGATGGCTGAAATCCTCATGCAGAAACTACCAGATGTATTCAGTGTTTATTTCAGGCGTGAAGGTACTTTTTTATTTTATTTTTATACATTTTACACCATAACTCCACGCAATGAAGTAGCTTGCTATAACAGGATTACAAAAAGTTGCTTCCAACATTTTCATCACTGGGAAAAAATATTTCTTTACAGTAATGCATTACTCTCAACACTGGTGTTTTGTTGCTCTTGTTCTGTTCAGGTGTGATGCACCAGGTAAAGAACCTAGCCGAATCCGAGGTGTTCCTCACCAGCCCCCCGAAAGCGTGCACCAGCGGCACAGCTAGTCTTTGCACCACCACTATCACCACGGCAACCACTACAGCTGCCTCAAACGTCACACCCGACTTGGGCTCCCCCAGTTTCCAGCACAGCATGGACGACTCGCTGGACCTCAGTCCTCAAGGGTATAGAGCCACTTTGACACGAACCCATACTAATCTAGATTTTGCAGGCCTGGTGACACATGTCTTGCCATTAAAGTTTAAAAACAAATCCCTCTTTTCTCTAGTAGGTTGAGTGATGTTCTGAAAAGAAAACGCCTTCCTAAAAGAGGACCGAGGCGTCCAAAGTACTCCCCACCCAGAGATGATGACAAAGTGGATAATCAGGGTAAGTTGCACTTTGTGTGTTAAAACATTGGCCCCAAAATCTACTTGGACGCTTGGGCCTGGTTTCATTAGATTAAGCCAGGATTAGACTTTAGTTCAATTAGGACATTTAAGTAGCTTTTTTTTTTCGTGCCTTAGAAAAAAAAACATTACTGTGCATCTTATTTTAAGATGTGTCGGTGCAAGTTGCTTTCAGTTAAACAGCACAAAAATGCATTTTAGTTTGGGACTAGATTTAAGCCTTGTCTGTGAAACTGGGGGCACACCTTTTATTTAAAGCTACACTATATCTGTGATGCATGCTGCATCTGGCTCTCGGGAGCTGGTATAACATGCTCACATTTTTTTTATTTTTCACCATTTTGGGAGAAATAAAATTGGCTTGTTGTAAAAATTTTGGTAGAAATAAAATGTGGAATCTACTAGACCATGCATTTGGTCTTTTACTAGAGGTGGGCGATATGTAAAAAATATCTTATCATGATTTTTTTCAGGAAAAACCACGATTAATGATTTTATCACAATTCTTTTTCATGTTGCTTTTTAAGACTATTTTGCAAATTACTGAGCCGCAATACAAGCAATCTTATATCCCCAATTAAAAAAATAGCCATACAAGGTAACAAAACAAAAGGGAAAAAAGGAGCATATTTTAATTAAGTGTATGTTTAATGGAAGTGCAATTGACCAAAGTAAGAACAGTCAACAGGACTTGCATTACAGTCAGACTTCTCATCACAAAATGAACATTGTTTAAAAAAAAAATCAAACATTGGCAACAGGTGTAACAGTCAGTAGACTGTCAGTAGACTTTCTATTTTTTTTTTTTTGAGGTAGCATCTAGCATTAAAAATATAGATAAACAGATACATCAAAACAATTAAGTAAGCTTAAAAAGTTAAATAAAAATGTTTAAATAAAAAACTAGTTATACATTAAGTACAGTCAGAGACTATAGGATAAATCCCCTAATAAACATTTGCTTCAAAATGTAAAACAACACAATAAATTGTTCAATGTGATTCAGGAAGCAGACAATCAACCAAAGGTGCAAACATATTTCTGAATCCTGACTCTTTTAAACTTAACAGCTTTAGACCTTTCAAATTCCTACAAAGGAACGTTGCCGTCTGACGTGTGAATCTTATTGCAACATTCCAAATAACGTTTGTTTGCGCCATTTCTGTTATAGAAAATCCAAACCATTTCCATATTATCGATGTTGACATTTTTTTAGGGATCAACTCCTGTGTTTTCATCCATCGTCCTTGCGTTGTTTAATCTCACAAGCAAGTAGTTTTTGATCCTGTTAACACGCTGACATCTAGCGCGCTGTGTATCACATGTTGTATACGTAGCTGAAAAAAGCCATAGATCTGCATCTGATAGAACTCGCACTGAAGCACGATTCTACGATATTTCTGAAAAAGTGAATCGTGGAGACATTTTAATCATGCACGATTAAATACCGTCATATCGCACACCACTATAGACCATTTTTGCACGATGTAAACAACACTGGTCCAGAAACACTTCCTGTTTCAGTTTGTAACTGTTTTCTTTATTTCCCATGTAAAGAAAACATCTTAAAGATGTTTGTTTAACTCAGTTTTCAGTTTTATATTTTCTGTTGGTTGTGTTTTATCCCAGCTTTTATGTAGTATTAAAAAACTGAAACAGGAAGTGCTTCTGGACCAGTGTTGTTTACATCTTGCAAAATGGTCTATATCTAATGTTTTTTTTTATTTTATTTTTTTAATAACAAATCTTCCAAACCATGTTTTTGCCATACCCTGAATCACTATGGTAAGCCTTTTTTAATGTATATTTAGGAGTTATCAGGACATTTCCTGGGAAACTGCATACATTCATCATTCGTCCATGTGTTACTTATATCCCTAAATAAAAGAGAGAAGGTCAGGCAACTACTGTAAGCAGTGGAAGTACCTTGAAGCCACAGCATCTAAACCTTGACCTAAAAAAAGAGTTTGCAAGCAAAAAGGCATTACAACAGTACATTTAACCCTTGTGCTGCATTAGATTTTTAACACCGTTGAGTGCATTAAGGACCAAAAATGGCCACATATTAAACATTGCCTAAAATATTATATATTATTATTATTTTCCACTTTTACCAAGTTAAATATTTTAACCAGCATCAGTCCTCATCATAACTACCAAAAATGTATTCAATTTCAGGATTTTAACCCTTTAATTACCAGTTTTGTTTGCGAAACCATCGATTTGTATAAGAGGAAAAAACACAAAAATTCAATTATTTTCAATAAAATAAATGCAAAGAGAAAACTTTAGATTTGGATTATCAAAGTCCCACTTTGCAAAAAATCCCACTTAGCGCGTTAGAGACCAAAAATGGCCACCTATTAAACATTGCCTATTGCCTAAAATAAGGTGCATTTCCACCCATAGGGAATAAATATGTAGTGACGTCATCTGGTGGAATACACTATATAATGCAAATATAATGCTTTTGCTTCAAAATGAAAGGATGTTTGTGCAAAAATCATGTTTCATGTATTACTGACAGCCTCAGATTTAAACAACGTTTTTTAATGGGTTTCAATGGGCCATTTTTGGTCTTTATGGTGCTGAGTGTTACTATTTGATCTACACAGTGTGTGTTATACATATTTTGCAAAATGGGATCACATTTTTCACAATTTTGCCAAATTTCATATCATTTGCATTAAAACAGCCAAAATAGTCAAAGAAATTAAACTGCAAAAGACCAAAAATGTCCCTAATGCAGCATAAGGGTTAATAAAACATGAATCAACATAGTTAGCATAGCATCACATTTGCAATTAAACAATGTCTTTGTTGCTAATCTCTAAACCAGTTACTGCTGTGATCTATTTGACTATAAATAGCCTTGCCATGTTAGCTTCCAATGTTATTTGATATGAATAGCAAACATTGTCTAATGTCAATGTTACCATCCTTTGTAACATTATTTATAAATAAATACATAATTTCAGATAGTCAAAACGTAGCATACAAGCTACCTACTTAAGAAATTTTTCGGATATCCGTCTCTCCTTATTCGGTGAGTTTTGATATTGATCGTGACTAACACTGATAGGGTTATTATCTGTAATCGTGGGTACAGCGGTACGTGCATCTCGAGCCATCAGATTTATCCGTGCTGAAGACAACTCTCATAATTACCAAAACAATGTTTCGCTGCAAGTAACTTTTAGTTTTATGCTTAACTGCTTGACAACCAAAAGTTTCGTAGTTTAGCTTTAATGCAATGACATTCATACAGTTTTGAGTGCCTTGAAGTTTTAGCTAATTTTTGGCATCATGTTTTGTTTTGAGTGTTGTGAATGATGTTCATTACGTAATACGCATCCATCATTACACATGAACTTTAATCTGGTCATTATAATATCTCCTCCACAGCTAAGAGTCCGACAACCACACAATCCCCCAAGTCTTCTTTCCTGGCCAGTTTGAATCCCAAGACCTGGGGTAAGCTGGGAACTCAGACAAACAGCGCTAACTCAGAGCCCTCACGCACTGCTGGGGTCAGTGGTCTGGCAAGAGTACCGCCTAAGGACTCTGTATCAAACAACAGGTAAAGCTACAGGTTTTATTAGTGTTCTGATTATAATTGTTTTTAATTGTATTGTTCAGGATTGTTTGCTGATTGATAACAGATATTTGCAGCTCATTGTTTCTAATAAATACATTATTATAATGTGTTATGGTTTTAAATAAGGTTGTTATGATGCACTAGGGGTGCAACGGTTCAAATTACTCACGGTTCGGTTTATATCAAGGTTTTATTGTTGAGGTTTCGTACGGTTATGGTATGTGCTATGTTCAGGGAAAAAGGACTACTGTCAAAAAAGAAAAATGAAAATAAGAACAAATGCTCTATCTACAAGAAACAGCGCAAATAAATATAATAGAGCAAAGATACAAATAAAATAAACTGTTTTAGGTACAGAAATTGTAAAATAACATTGTATATTTTACTGTGTAGATTAAATATTAATCCTTATTAAAGTTACAAAAGCTATTCAATCTGGAACAGTGAGTTTTCCTTGTCTTTTGTTGTTTGATTAACATTAAAAACACTGACTGTAGGAATATTAGCTTACTGTTACTTTAAGATATAATGCATGGATCTAGTACACACTGATACTGATATACAAGCCTCAACTTAACCAACTATGTCTGCTAGGAAGGATACTCACCAAGACGGGCATGTTGACAATTTTTGTGTCAATTTGTCTGTTGAAGTGCAAGACTTAAAAGAGCACTCACTATTTGCGTGCTGTCGGAGACACTGGTTTGTGCGCTTCAGATTGATTTTATTTATTTAATTGCCCTTTATTTAACCAGATAAAACTTAATGAATTTTTCTTAATAAAAAATAATATATATATATATACTTTACAGATGAGTGCACAGACGCACACACAATCTTCTCACTAGTGAGTTCTCATTAGAGTCTTCTGGCTATTAAATGTTTAAATTGGCAAGGCTTAAATGAGTTTAGTTTGAACAAAAAGATGAACCGCGGTGCAAGTGCATGCCAAACCGTGGGTGGAACACGGTATGTTTTTAATATTATTATATTTATTTTTTACCAAGAACCATTCCACCCCTATGATGCACATTAATATATAAGCTACCATTTAATGTATAAGCAATCCGACATTATAAATGTCTGTGTCGCTTTTGATCAATTTAAGGTGTTTACAGTTTTTATTTCTTTAAAGTGCCCCTATTATGCTTTTTTGAATATTACCTTTAATGGTGTGTAATAGCAGTTTGCAAATGTAAAAGGTCTGCAAAGTTTTAAAGATCAACATGCATGACAATTAAAGTTGTCTCCTAAAAAACAGTTATGAACTGCCTAAATAAGTCGTCAGTAATGCCAGTCTCACTTCTGTAATATATCTAGGTTTGGGCTTCATTGGCCAACTAGTAATATATCTTACACATGGGCTTCATTGGCCAACTAGTGTTCATTTTGTCAGCTATTTTCATGATTTGGCCCTCTGAGACAAATTTAGCAAATCCTCTGATCCTAGGCTAAAATCTGAAGTCTTTGATCGTTAGTTTGACATGATCACTGATCGCCGATTAATGACCATTGTGATCAAATTTAACCTCTGATGATTTCTGGCAGTGTCAGATGATTTGACTCATAGTCCCCTACGACAACCGTCAAATTGTCTTCATTTTTCAAGACAAGCCATGACCAAAATGACCGTTAGAGATTTCTTTGTAGCCACCATTTCAATCCTGCGTGTAATGCAGCTACATCACTGAACGTGTCATTGATTTTAAAACTCCAGAGGAGTTTTCTTGCGTGCATCAGTTTTTATCACATTTTGACTGTCATACAAGTTTAACAAATGAGATCTTACAGTGCGTCACACTGTAAGATCTCAGTTGTCATTAAGGTCAGACCGTACAGTCTGTCTTTGTACAGTCTGAGAAGGAACACTCGTAAATAGGGGTGGGGAAAAAAATCGATTCTCGATGCATCGCGATGCGGACGTGGACGATCCTGAATCGATTCACAAATGTCAAAAAATCGATTCAAAAAAAAAATGTTTTTATATGTATTTATAATAACGTAATATTGACGGAACGCGAAAGACGGAACTCTGAAGCGCGGAAGTGCAGTGGCCGGACCGTCTGTGGCGTGCACATAACAGAGATGAGATGGCACGCGAGATCCAAACACTTTCCT